AATTAATTGTACCTCACCAGCGTAGAATTAATGAATCTTGTTGAAACCCAGAAAGTACCTTCAAATTGTGAAACAATTGGGTATCAATAAAAGAAAAAAAATATGAAAAAGGTAGAACAGAAGCTGTTCAGATTTCCTAGCAAAAATATTTAAAATATATGTAGCTGTTGTCTGGTTGTTTTTGAAAAATAAACAGTTAAAAGGTCTGGGATTATACCTGCTAACTTTCTCTTTGGGATTTTGCGGTTTGTGTACAGGCGCGTGAAGAAAATTGAAACTTGAAAACAAGGAGTAGTAAAAAACGGTTCAAGGAAGAGACAGGCAGTTTTTCCGAAGAGAATTTTAGAAAAATATTACATTTGTTTCTTTCGTGAGGAATAGGTGCTCTCGTATCGGTTTAGACCATTGCTTAGCATTCGGGAGGACGCCGAGGCAGTAATACTCCACAGATAATCTTTCATTCTCTTCTGTCTTCATTTCGTCCGTCTCAACTTTCTCACCCGAACCACCACCCACCCATTCCCATGATTCCTGAAAGCAGGCTGAAGAGGGCCTTCCGCCCTACCTTCCGGCGTAGTCCGGAGGGACTGCCCGCCCACCAGCATTAATGGGCTGGTGGGAATGAAACACCCAAAAGTTTTTTTTTTTTTTTTTTCGGTTTCAATATTCAAATTAAATGATTTTGGAAATCTGTACATAAACGAGTTATGTGTAGATTAAGGTTAGGTATATATATGTAGTTTTGTATACAGTGTTGTGATAAAAAGTTTTACTGCAGCAAGAGTACTTAATTTGAAAATACAAGTCCGTTGGTTTATCCTTAGCTTACGAGATGATATGTAGGGAATTACGCACAGACGTAAAAAAAACTGAAAACTTACAAACATCAACGTTGACCTATTTATGGTTGGGAACGTCGCCATGATTATGTTTCAAGCGGTGAAAATAAAATGTACGGAACGCATATTAACTAGTTATTACGCAAACTAGTCCATTCCTGCCTAACACATACGTAAAGACAGATAGATACAGTATAGGTATTGTGTACGCACGCACAAATCATTGTCATGGCGCACGTCTTTAACTGCGGCAATATAAGTTGAAGGAATCCAAAGTATCGACCAGTTGTTGTTCGCAAGAAATGGCAAATAGCGGATAAAATGTGGTCGATCGAAAAAAGAGAAAAAAAAGAAGAAACCGAGGCTGATGATTTTGCTAATTCACCGCTAGCCGGGTTTTTGCCGCGGCCATGTTGGAACACTAACAAATGATAATGGGTAGTTTGAAATTCCTCCACGGCTCCATGCCATCCGGTTCTTGTAATACTATTATCACCACGTTCATTTTATTGTTATTAATAGTGGCGGCCTTATTTGGCGTAAAACAGCCGCTGCACCGGGCGTTTTACTCACCTGATTAGTACGACTACGGGTCTCATGCAAGTTTCATTAAAGGCGGCGCTGACCCGTTCGTTGAATAATAAAATTTTACATTTCCACTGTTTACGAGAACCCAAGACACACACACGCTAACATCAAACGACTGCTTTATGTTCTGACACTTGTTCTACGCACATTTACTTCCATGTTTCGCGCGCGACATTTAATTGCAATTGCTTTCGATTTTTATATACCTACCTACCTAGCTAACCTACCCGTTTTTGCTCTTATTGCACCCTGGGGGAGTTTCTTCTTGAAAACTCCTAAAGGCAAACATCAAAGTTCTTGTTACTGCTTGTTACGAAACCTTAACGATGAATTTTATTTACGTGGAAACCGAGTTTCTCAAAAAGACTTACTTTTTCATGTTCAGCTGGTAATTTATTTTTACGAGAAGTGGTTTAAATGTGATAACAAAAGTAGATACATTCATTTCATAAAGCATCATGTTATGTGTTGTCGATGCATGGGTATTTACGTTTATGTATGGTACCTACCAGAAATTGAAAATATTAATGGTATAAACGCTACTATATAAAAATAATCCAAAGGGTTTATTTTTATCAAACTCATAGTGAAAGCCTTTTTTGCCTTGTAATATAAAAATAAATTATTAAGTGTTATGAATATTTTTTGCCGATTTTCGTAAAATTTCAGAATTTCTTTCATGGTGTTATATAGGCATGTATGAAGTATAGCAAATATATTCCGGGAATTTGTAAATATTTTACAAGTAAATCAATTTTTGTTCAGTAGTCACCCTATAGCTTTATATACCGTTGCCACCACCTTTCCCACCCTCTTCTAAATTTTTTTAAGTTATGTAGTTTAAAATCATCCTCACAGTTTTTTTACGCTGTCATGATGAGCAATTTAAGGGGAGATTGTATTTTTGGGAAGAGGAGAAGGTTATAAAGGGCTATAGGGGAGATGCGGCAACGTGGAAAATACTGTTTTAGACAAATACTCGCAGACAATCAATAGAGGCGTCTTGTTATAATGAAGAATCCAAACTTTTTCTTTCCTTAAGTGAAAACTGGGTGCCCTCAATCGATTGAGGATAATAGCATATCCAAAAGAAAAAAAACATGTCATCAACAGTTTCTTCACCTTAAACTTAGACATCGTTGATTTCGTTGGTCACCGTCTTCCCCACTACTGACTCTGCCTCCATACATATTTTCCCAATTTTCGAAGACATATTAGAGGAAGAAATAACAGTTAGGAGGAGTAAAGGTTGACCTAGATTAGATTACGGTTCGCAAATAATTAAGGATGTGGGATGTTTTAGTTTTAGAGAAATGCGAAAATTAGCTCAGGAAAGGCAACAGTGGAGACGCGTGTCCAAGCAGTCTTAGGACTGATGACATTATGATGATGACCGGTAGTAAAGGAAGGTTCACTCTTTACAACATAACTTCGGCCCCCGCAGCGTAGTTTGGTAAGGAATTATAACTAAATTCCCGGAACTTTATTGACACAGCTCGTATACTGAAGGGTAGTACAGGCATGACGCTGGAAGCTGGCGGAAACTTTAAAATGGCGTGGATGCGCGATGGCAAAAGTAGGCAGTTTTAGGTATAAAGATTGCAGCCCTCATTCTTCAGTATTCCTATCAGGGGCGTAGATTAAATATTTAAAAATAGGGATCAGTGAGCAGGTAATGGAGATACAAACAGAAGAACTAATTGTTGATGTTGGTGACAGTGATAGAGATTTCCATGATGAGAGTGAATGTGAAAACTAACTATAAAACAAAAGTAATAGGTTAATTTTTTCTTTTTGGTAAGTCATGTTTTTACATTATTTTCTAGTACGCTACTGTCCTATCTGTATTAATACTATAATTTACGCCTACTGAAAGCTTATTTGTGTATCGGTTCCAAGTGACTTACCCAAATAGGTCATAAATGGGCAAGTACCTGCGCGACCGCTCGCCAGCTTCTTTCGTCAGACCTGTACTTTGGTACTTTGTAGAATATAAATAAAGCAAAAGTATGTAATGAGTGAATAACATCGAAATGACCTACAGAAGCAAATACTACATCATATACTGCCACCGTAAAATGCAGCAGTGTTGGAAGATACTGTTTGGTAAAATGCTTCAGTTTCATTTTTTGCATTTTAAAGTCTATAGCCTACGGCTTTCAAATCCCTTTAATCAATCACTTTGTATACATACTTCGGTATATGTATGTACGGATTTAAGACGTGAATGTAGTGGATGGGGGGGAATTTATCCCCCAGTTCTACAATTGATTTTTCTTAGCGGCTTTTCTCGAGAAAAACGACACCAACAAAATGGCGCCTGTTGCAAAGGGAGACCAGTTCTCAAGGGATGGAAGCGGGTTCAGAACGGAACAAGTAATTGGATCGCATTCTCGAAGGGAGAATGATTTATTTTATTTGAAGACGTGGGTGGATTTAAAAGGCGTGCACGCGGCTCGCAGATTTCGCCTTTATTGATTTTAACGTTAGAAACGAGCAGACTTTTTTCTTTGTCTGCCAACAACTGAAGATCCACATGCTTCCTTTTATACCGATACATAAAAGTTTTCAATAGATGAAGAAAATTTTTCATGAAAAAAGGACCTGAATCCTTTGACCTGTTTTTATATTTTACAGAATAAGTACCTACAGCTAGTTCAAAATCTTATGAACCTTTATCTGCGTGAGATGCGGAACTTATTGTATTCATGAAAACATTATCTGATTTACTAGACTGTTACCATGTGTCATGCTATACAAATAGATATGGAGCAGTACGATAGTACAAAGAAAATGTAGATTCTGAAATAATAAATGCAAGTTACAGGGCAGTCAAAATGCTGTTTGTCGATTTTCATAACATCGACTTTATTAAAGTACATCTCGCATTAATTCTTTGAAATTTATAATTTTTACATCAAAACTGCCTCCTATTAGTACAAAGTAATAATAAAAATGTATGGAAGGTATTAGTTTTTGTATTTACCGTGGATTTCATTTATTACGACCTTGGTTATAGCGACATTTTGCTATAGCAACGTTAAGTCTAAGTCCCTTGAATTTAAAGCATAAATTCATATGGCTATACTGTTAAAAAAAAGCGCAAATCGGTTTAAACTTGAAAAATGGTGAAAACTGTATAGACGTGTCTGTATCTCTTCATCTTTGCCTGTAACGACTTCCGGATATAACGGCGAAATTACAGTCGTCCTTTCGTCGTCGTTATATCCGAAATCCACTGTATTTCTCTACTACGTTTTACCTGCGGCTTCGCTCGCGTTGATGTCCTAAATACGTGTCAAAGATCCTCGAAAATACAATAATATGATAAATGTACTCTTAAGTTTTGACCAGGATCATCAAAATAAAACTTAAATTTCTAATTTTTTAGGTTAAGCATATACTTTACGTAGAATGACAGTAAATATACTGTCCTTCTTTATTGAGATGAAAAGAAAATTTTCTATCACTTGGAAACAGCAGTTTTTTTGTGTCCTTTCATGTGCCTATTATTATTAGTTATTTAAGTTTAATTAGTATAATTTGTTAATTTGTATTTCGTTTTCGTTTCAGGTATGGTTCCAGAATGCCCGAGCCAAGTGGCGTAGAATGATGTTAAAACAAGAGGGTAAATCTGGAGAGAAGTCAGGTTCAGAAGGCATGAGTGATATGGACATATATGGTACAGGTCCGATGTCGGGAAGCCTGCAATCCTTACCGCCCCCTAGCCCTTCATTTATGATTCCATCAGGAAGCCCTTCATCACTAGATTGCCCGTGACTTTAGTGATTTGAAATGTCGAAGTGCGTGAACAATCTGATCGAGAATAAACGTTAAAGTGAAGTTGTAAATTTTAGTTATTTAGCGATTAATTTATTTTTACGTACAGAGAACTCGTACTTGTCGAATAAGTTTCACTTGTAAATAGGCGTACGTTTGGTACTAAGATTGGTATAAGTAAGTACTATGTGTCGCTACTCTAAATTATTTTATTCTATAGAAATGACTGAATTTTTCATCAGAATTATTTCGTCATGTGATTTTTGTGAATCATCAACTTGGTTGCAACAGAAAGTTTGCGCTTTTTAGTTCTGTGCATATACTTACATACATCCAAAAATAATTGACATCATGTAAGTTAAAGTTCTAATTAGTAACAAATATTTTAAACATGCAACATTAACATTGAAGAACTACTGAATCTCCTAATACACATTGTTTTGTAAAGGTGTTACTTGAAAAAAGAATAAAATAAAGTATAATGAAATTCAGTTTACTGATAGAATTAATAATTCTAAGAAACAAAGAATTTCTCAAAAAAAAAAAAAGTGAAAAAATTCAAAAATGGGTCGTTTTTGATCATATTGTCCATGGTCTACTTACCACCACTGCTGAAATGAAAGTGAGAGCATCTAGTTATCTGATATAACAATTGATATAACCTTTTACTACAATTACATACGTATATGAAATATTAATTCTGTATAAAACTACTGGCGATTCTTGAAATATAATGCTATTGATGAGAATTGCTGTCATCAACATTTTGAAGCGATGAAAGGCATGCGGCCCCCTCAATAACTCGACAATCTGAGTGTTGAATATTATAGCTAGTATCATATTAAATCTTCTCTCATTTACAATAAGCAAATCAACGAGTCATTAAGGGTGTCGTACTGTTACTTAATTTTCGTTCTGATAATGACGGACAGTTTTGAGAGATTTATCAAGAATCGATCAAGAAGCTAGTGTTTTGGAAAGATTTACTGGTTAACAGTGGTGGTAGGCAGATCAAACTTCGAGTCGGTGAGAGACCTTGTGGTTGACAGGGGTAGCAATAAGTAGACGCTGGTGGATTTGATCAAGAATGACTCATTTTTGAATTTTTCATAACTTCGTTAGTTTTTCTTCGTTGAATTGATTCTTGTAGATTATTACTTATTCTATCAGGGAACTGAATTTCGGTAAAATGCATCAACTTTATCATTATTTATTCATAACAATCCAAACTATAAAACAAAGACAATCTTTTAAAAACTTCAAAATCAAATTTCATTTTTATGAATCCCAAATCCAATTGTTTTAGGTGAGCCTTAGCGGGTCTTACCGGCTTAAAATCGCTCAAGAATAAATGATTTAGTAACTTTTTACCGGCTGTCACTTTCATACAACGGAAGTAAAAAAAAAAAATAAATCCGATGCTCACTTATCGGCAGACGGTTTTCGGTGATACCAAATTTCTGATGCTTGAATCAAAAATAGATCGTAAAGTTATTTCTATAATGAATCATACCAACTTCATACGAATATAAAAAACAATTCTCAGGAGGCGTCGTTATTATCCTAGTTCTGACCATATTCTGACAAGTGACAGCTGAAATGTTTTTCAACTGAAACGATTATAAAACCAAGCACTATGTATCGGTATCTACGACAAATACGATACACAGCTACGAGAAGTGTTTCGCACGGTACAAAAGATAAAAATATTCAGCTAGGACCTTCGGCCATTTCTGGAAGTAGTGGCGAAAGTCATAAACTGTGGAAAAGGCTTGCCATTTTCGTGGCCCTACCAGCTATCTGTTTATGTGCGCTAGGGTGCTTTGTCGAAAATAGTATGGAAGAAATGGAAGAAGAACGTGAACCTTTTTTGAAATACGAATACATGCGTAGAAGAACTAAGCCTTTTCCATGGGGAGACGGTAATCATTCGTTGTTTCATAATCCACATAAAAATGCGTTACCCGATGGTTATGAAGAAGTACAATAATCAAAATGTCTGTTTTATACAATTTGTTCAAAATAGAATAAACGCTTTTTAAATGTGTCTATAAATGTTGTCGAAAGTTTATTACAAAACCACTATTATTAATAAACACAAACTAAAAAACTGATCACACTTCAATAAATATACCGTATGCGAAAGTGCGGATATTAGTATGCTGCTCTCGTCAAAACCAGTCAGACGGCCAACGCCTCCGCCTGGCTGTTGGAAGTTGTGCGAAGACATGCACACACGTACGAAGCGACAATTTTCTATACGACGATCCACTTTTTCGCATACGGTATACTATTAGACGTTCTTAAAATTGAAATTATAGCATTTTCAGCTCAGTGAAGTAGCTCTATGTAAAAGAATGAGCTTCTAATGACGATATTTTAGGCATATTGATACAAATTTTTGAAATTATTATTATTATTTCTTAAACATTTCCTGCTATTTTCCTTGATGAGCAATTTGATTTTACCTGTACACTGTGATGCATATATATATGTAAATATACAATTTTCAACCAAGTTGGTGCAGCAAAAATTACTACAATGTAGTAGACAATTTATAAAACTAAAAAAATGTATTGTTCCTACCAGTTATTAGTTTACATGTCACGATTTTTATATATACACCCTAAAAATTTGCACGGTGATGAAATATTAGCTGTGACATCACGGCTAAATCTTAATTATTATTAATTCATTATTAAACCATCGTTAAGTTTTATTCACTTGTGTAGCAAACAGAAGAAGAAATTATTAAAGTACAAATATAAGGTCAACGCAATAATATAGCAAATGGTTGTCCAATTTTAGGTGTTTTAAATAAAATAACATCCGTATTGTGAAATTATTATTATTATCATTTGCAACAAAAACAAAATAATTTTCTGTTAGATTGATATGTATTCAAATTTTTTTTAATATGGTTTTTGTAAAACTATGCAATACACGTATTTATATTTCGTACTGGTTGTCACTAAATGTGTTATGTACTTCACATCACCAAACGAGAAATATTTTTATTATGTAAATTTATACTGTCTTTATAAGATGGTTTCTTCCTATTAATAAATATCAGTTTCGTATTTGCTGTGCTTCTTTTCAGGATTCCCTAAGTCAAAATGACAAACGGAACCCTTATAACATTAACCGTGTATCTGTCTGTCCGTCTGGCACAGTCAATTTGCTCTGGATCTAGTGAACTGATTAAGTTGAAACTTACTACAAATATGAATTTTTGTGACCCAAACACGGACGTACAACGTAAATAAATTAATATTGAACATGAGGGTCATTTTGGTGGGGGGGGGGGAATAGGAAATTAAAAAAAAAACAGTTTTGCGAACTGGGTCTTAAATAAATTTTTTTACAATTTTAAAATAAATAGTTTTAAAATTATTTAAGAAAATAGTTGAAAATTGACCATTCTACCCCCTCCCCCCAACCTTATCTCGGAAACTAATATATAATAATAGGATCACTCGTATGTGTGTCTGTCCGTTCTTTTGTATTAAATTTTTCATTAACAGTGGTCATCATTTAAATTTACAAAAATAAGTCAGAAACCAGGTGAATATTCGAATAGGAGAACTATAATTAGAGAAAGGTAAGTATTGGATCATAAGCTTGGAAAGAATATGATCAAGTCAATCCACCTTTAATAGAATATAAAAGTTATCTTAGACACCATCTTGTATTAGAATCAGTTCAATGTATTTTTGTTGTAAGCTATTAAATTTGTCATAAATCAAACACTAGTAAAAAACAATTGCGTCCACGGGTTTTACTACTACTTATTTGTGACTCAAACTAACCCAGTCTAGTCTAACCATTAGTGACAGTTAAAGATTTTAAAGATTTGCAATGTTGCCTTAAAGTCAGTTTTTTTGTATCATATATAGATACGCATTGTTAAAATAAGAATTCAAGTGTCTCAAATCTATTTTTAGCAAAAGCTACGATATAGCTTTGGTATCATCATATAGATAATCTTTTTCTTATTACTTCAGTTGAAATAGTTAAAATTTCTATATTAGTAGTTAGATTGCTTTAACTAAAATGGACACGGTACTGATAAAACAGTATGTATGAAAATAAATAAAAGTAAACCAAAAATACTGATATGCAAGGGAATATAAAGTAGGGAAATAGCAAATATAAAGATAGGAGACGAAAAATTAGAAGAAATGGCTGATTTTAAGTATCTAGGAAGTCATATAATTCAGGACGGAAGGAGTAGTAGGGATAGCGCAGGGTCAAGTCGCCTTCATTAAAAAGAAATCACTTTTGGTGGATTTAGAAATTCGGAAAAGATTGTTAAAGGTGTATGTTTGGAGCGCGGCGCTGTACGGGTGCGAAACATGAACGATGGGCGCTGCGGAAAAGAAAACATTAGAAGCGTTTGAAATGTGGTGTTACAGGCGAATGATGAGAATATCGTGGATAGGGAAGGCTAGAAATGAAGAAATTTTAGAAAGAATGGAATAGAGGACTTTATGGAAGTCAATAAGAAATAGGCGAGACAGGTTGTTAGGACACCTTCTCAGGTCCAGTCGGAGACATGTTAGAAGCAAAAACGGGGGTTAGCAGGGGTAGAGGTATACCTAATTAAATTACTGATAGCAAATAGTTTAGAATGTGGGATCTTCTAGTTGTAGGGAAATGCGAAGATTAGCTCAGGATAGAAAGGAGTGGAGGTGCATGTCCAACCAGTCTTAGGACTAACGACCTTTATCATGATTAGATAATATTAAATTTCAATATTATTCTATCTACCAGTACTCCTATGTACCATGTATACAATATTTTTGGGCACGAGTTCTTTAGTACTAAGCACAGATTCTATTGTTAATTAAAAAAGAAAAAACGAAAAAATGCTTTACAGATGGAACTTCTACACGTGTTTTGTAAATCCCTACAGGTACCCAGATTCTCATATTTATATACGACGGACACGTTTTCAATTTTTCAGCGCTAAATCGGTGATCATCGGACGAAGGTTGAAATTTTGACAGACGATGATGGATTGCTTCTGTTCTCACATTTTTTTGATGCGTTTGTCGCAGCCCGAAGCCGCAGGAAACAGATCATTAAGGACGAATGTACTGTAAATAATATCAGTATCTTCGGGTTAACGAGTTTGTTATAAATATGTGGATGTTGCAAAAATAGTCGATGAGCAAAATTATACCGACCGTTCCGGACTTGATACAGGAGCTGCACGCATAAACTATTTCTTCCACTTGAACACCTGCCTGCTTTTTCATAATTACACACAGATATGATGGGATTTCACGGAGTTGGATCGATAATACACTTGTACAATGTACATGTGTGTGTATGTTAGTATTTTCTAAAAGTATTTACTTGAAATTGTCGTCCAGTATTTTATTTTTGCGTATTAATACGAACATTGAAGACAAGCCAATTTTTATAATGTCTATAAGGTTGTGTCAGGAGTAAGTACATGTCAGTGAGATGTTTCACAAGGACTTTTTGCTTGGAACTGAGAGTTGCTCGATAATGGGCTTGCAGCTTGCAGCATATTAATATT